ACTACCATTGAAACCAATGGGAATCTTTCCACTGACTTTAATGGACACCATCTAAATCACTAGACACTGTGTACGCTATTGAGAGAGGTTCCAATCTATGTTGTTTTAGCACTTCAAAAGTCACTGCAAGCTGCTGTTACTGGAAATGTTGGCTCTGGGTTGTACTATTATGAGTATTTAGCCATCTCACATTATCACTAACATGGCCATGGTGTGCACAACATTATCAGATACATCCACAGTCTACCTCCACCTTTGTCTCACCTTCTGCTTCTCTGCAACTGGGTAAGTTTTATGTTTACAGATAAAATAGGGGAAAATATCTGTTAACCTAGCAAAAGCTGACCTCTTTAAGAGATGAGGTTTTTTATTATTACTGCAACATAAAATTACAAGCTGGTTGTCAGCTAAAATGAACTTCCTTCAATTAACCTATCAGAGACATGGGTAGACCTAGATGCTTTGTGATTTTTATAGGAGTAGCTACAATAGCAAAGCACTTGGTGAATGGCCTCGGTGAAGCTGAAAGTGCAGGAACCCTGTATTTTACCCAGCAAGATTTATCTGTTAATAATCTGAGGTATTTCCAATGGGCTGGATGTATGGAAGTGTGAAGAAAGACTTCTGGAAGGTCTTAAACCATGAACAGGAATAAGGGGATTAAGGAGGCCAGTCACTATTCTGAAACAAGAAAGCAACCTGTTGAGATGTCAGAGGTTCATAATGGGATATAAACCTTTGTTCATCTTCAAATGAAAATAAAAACATCCAGGAATACAAATTCCTATCCCTAAATTGTGAGGGCACCACTTTCCCTGATCCAGATCTGAGAAAGCCCTTGTTTCAGCAAAACCCTGTGAGAGGGTTCTTTGAAACACAGAGAGTCGGGAGTGAAGTGGGAAAGGAATAGACTTGCATGTGCTATTACTGATAACTGCATGAACCCACTGAGTCACGGAGATGCCAGTCAAAACTGCCCAAACAGGTGAGAGCCAAAAGGTGGAAGACAATTGGACACAGATCCTTCAAAATATCTTCTAATTTCTGTACTGCAGCCTCAAACCTTCTATCAAGAAATCAGGGTGGCTTTCCTGAGGAAAAGGTAAAGAACTGCTTGCTGTCTCTTTGGGATTGGTAAGTATAAGTCAGAGAATGCAAAGCAGTTCTTAACTACTTTAATGAAGGAAAGGCCTTGTCAGTCTTTAAGCCGTTGCAGCTCTTACATAAAAGATCTTCTGTCATGGTTTGGACCTTCCTGGATATTCCCAGCTACTGAAACCAACAGGATTTTCACATTGTCACCAGTGCAGCCATTATTAGATACGTCCACAGCAGTCTACGGGAAGATTTCAGATGTTAGCTACTTTTCTAGTGGATGGATTTTAATCATTCTCTCTGCTCTGGTGGGAGCCTTTGTGTAAGCAGAACCAGTTTGTCCCAGTACAGATACACTATGGAAACTGGCAGGCAGAGTTGTTTTCTGTCAAACATCCAGTCTCTTAGGGGCCTTTTCCCTTCCTGGTGGAGGCATCTGCTACTTTGACCTTTCCTAAATGGCTGCTTTGACAAGTGACCCTGGCACCAGATTCAAATGAAGTACTTGGAGAACTCGATAGGAACATGGTCTTTCTTGGAGGTGGCAGGTTCTGAGCTGAAGCCTGCTACAAGACCTTTGCAAGCTCCAAGATTCCCTGGTTAATAGGCACGGCCAGTCTCCCAGACATGGAACAATACAGAGTGCACAATCTTCTTTCCAGCAGGATGTGAACAGTCTCTGACATGGCCAAGAGGTCTTTAAAAACCTTGAAGTCCCTCCTGTCTCATTATGGAGGGTGACAAAATTGCTGGCAGGACCAGTTGCTGCACCACTTCTACTTTCATCTCTCTAAGATTCATGGTCGACTGGGTTAAGAATATCTATAGTGCTTCCTAGAAAGACATTTCATCCTATAGAAGAGGCAACAGCAGCTGACTTTCAAGCAGATGGCTGCATACTTTACTCTAGTGGGGACCAACCATTTTGGCACTTGCCACAAATAAGCCCTATGCCCTCTCCTAGGGGCCCTCTGATCCCATTCCCTTACCTGATCTGTTACTCAGGTTTCTGCTCCCTGCTCAAGCTTCTGCTTTGCTTTCAGCTCCCTGCCCTATCTGCCACTGGACTGCCTGTCCCTTCCCCAATCTGCTGTGTGCCACACAGAGCCTGCCTGAGCCACTCCTGCCAGAGGTTGGCAACCCCATCCTACACCACAGCTGACAAGCGTGTGAATGGTGGTCCCAAAAGAGACTCTCATGGAGCCTGTTTCTTGTCAGATCCAGGGCTTCTACTGCTCAAACAGCAATCTCCTGAGTTTCTTTCTGAGTCCCAGGAGGGAGCCCCTGGAGGGGAAGTGGAACGTGTCTCTACTGTGTGCCAATGGAGAATGTGAAAAGGAATATCCCCTCCTCAAGTAGTGGGACACTGTAGCAGGCTGCCACCTCAGGGCCTTTTCAACCAGGCCTTTGCTCCTTGAGCGTCTCTCAGCATGCCTCAGTAACACACAGCCCTTCAACAAATAAATTTAAACCCCCCCCCCCCAAAACAAAACCCCTTATTATCCTGAACACTAGGAGGGGTCCACTGTGGCTCCAACCTTCTCACAGCAGGCTTGCTCTCCTTCTGGCCCGTTTCCCAGCTCTGATGCTTCTCCCCATGGGTCTCTGGTTCTGCCTGGTGGGACTTTTGATTCCCAGGCAGCCTCTCCTTCATTAGCCTTCACACAGCTGCAGCTCCTAAGCCAGGTTGGCTGCCTCCCAAGGGGACTGTTACAGATGTTTTCTTCTGTGCTAGGGCACTGCTACATCTTCAATTAGGTAGGGCAATTAGAGAGAAATGGAGGGTTTAGAGGGCCCCTTCTTCAGTCACTAGCTGAGGTGCTTGAGACAAGTAACATTAACATTTGAGTCTCTTCAGAGTACTCTAGAAAGGGAGACCTAGGTTTCAACTCATAGCATTCCTCCAGCAACTTCCTACCCTTCTTGGGAAACTTGACAATTGGCATCTTCAACATATTAGCTCAAGAAGGAAGGAATCAAGGGCTGGTTAAGGCAGTAGGGAGAAAGACTGAGCTCTAGTTCTGTTTCTATCCTTACCGTCTGAAGTGGCTTTCATGATGTACTAGATAATAAACTTAGGCAGGCATCACTTGTCATCTGTGTCTGCTTGGAAAAAGAGCAGATGGAGCGTATTAGAATTGTGCTTTTTATTTTTAAACAAAAGGCATAGTGGCCATCACCGAGTGGCATACAAGATTGCAAGAAGCGCAAAGTTTAGTCACCTGACAGTTGTCTTCTATTGCAACAACTTGAATGCTCACACAGAGATGGGGGACTCTGGACCTGCTATGAAAGAAAGCATTGGCAAAATTTATCTGAGAACTACAGATTAACTAACAGTTGACTAAGTATAGAATCAAAGAGAAGCAGACAGACCATGCCAGGGGTGCCATCTCACCACCATAGATGGGTGAACCCATTTAGTTCTTTATAAGTGGGGAAAGAAAGAGTACAGGCATGGCCCAAACCACCGACTACTACAGTTAAGTTTTGACTAATATGATCATTGATTAGTAGAGGTTGTCAACCAGGGCTACGTATACGCCCAGGGGTACTTGGGAAGGCCCTAGAGGGTATTTGCAGGCGGATAGGGACAGAGAGCCACCACCCACCACCCCACACTGCCGCCTCCCAGGAGCAGGGCTGGGGAAGCAGGGGAGCAGGAGGGCAGCAGCACCCCTCTGTAGGCTACATAGGCACCACCCAGCTGGCCAGATGCAGAGGGGGGAAGTTTGCACCCACCACACCATGCTGCCGCCACTCCGCTTCCACCCATGCACCACCCCACCCCTGCACCGCATCCAGCCACGCACCCCACCTTCTCCCCCTCCCCACCCAGCGTCCAGCTGCCATGGGTACACTTACTAAAAAAGGTTGAAAACCCCTGGATCAGTACACAGACTGCTCAGACTCTGCTGAAGCATTAACCAGTGTAGGCTTCCTAGAGCAGTAACTAATACACAAAACTACTTACACATCCTTAAACTTACATGATTACTTTTATATAGAGCCCTCACAAGGCTAAAGGTCAGCTCATAAAACTGGTGCTAGACAGTCCAGGACACCAAGATAAGGGGGAACATACAAGGAGTGAGATGACCTAGTAAGAGGCTTTATTATTTGTTAAGAACATGATACAGAGGTGTATGATGTTAACAGAAGAAGCTTTGATCAGTGTATAAAGGAGGGTCTTGGAACCCTTGGTGCCATGACATTCTCTGTTTAACATGTTAACCCAATGGTGAGCAAAATACATTTGTTTCTGGCCCATCCCCTCTTCCCAACCAGTGCAAGATGATTCCCTATAGCTTTTTTCTTTCCTTTTTTTAAAGTTAGTTTGGAGACTCCAGAGAGCATTCCACAAGCATACTTCAGTACTAGAACAGTCAGCCTGCATTTCCTTAATATTTTCCCAAGCCCAAAATTTTCCCAGGTTCCTAGACCTCTTTTAAATAGGTGGCATTGAGACAGCAGGATGTATATTCCCATTATTGTTTAGGAAGTCTTAGGACATGAACTATTCTTTTGTATTCTGTAAACTACCGTTATGGCCATATGAAGTCTGCATTTTATATCTAAATGACAGAAGCTATTATGACTATTGTGGCTGTTATACTATGCACGTGATCACAACTTCAAGGCAGAGCCCTTAAAAGAACCTCACTTACATTATTACAAGGGATCTGCAAAGCTTCGGTCGCCAATTCAATTCAGCGGAGATTCGGCTCAATTCAGCGGCCAAATCTCCGAATCCAAATTGAATCAGGAGACCCTTTAATCTCTCTGAATCATATCAGAATTCTCTGAATCGATTTGGAGAGATTCAATGATTCGGACATAGACACAGCTTTAAACGTTTTTTCTACATACCTCAAAGTACCAGGAGGCTTGTGAATGCTGAGGCGGATGGAGCGTTCCACAAGGGGGGGGGCAGCATGCTCAGTGGTGAACCTGGAAGTGGACCAGAAGGTACAGGGGACCCTCCCCCTGCCTTGGCAACTGGTGCCTCCTGGGGTCCCCTCAGGGCCAGTCTCGGAGCCAGGGGGGCACACGGGGCTTCCCCCATGTGCTTGGCTGTGGACCCAGAAGTGGACCAGAAGTACTTTCAGGTCTGTCGCCAAGCACGTGGGGGGGGCCCCCCCATCACACTCCTGTGGGACACTTCATCTGTCCCACCACTGCAGCATTCACGAACTGTGCCTAGTACTTTGAAGTATGTAGAAAAAACATTTAAAGCTGTGTCTATGGCCAAATTGCTGACTCGGCAAATCAGCATCGACTCTTCAGATTCAGCTGAATCGAACTGCGACAGTGATCTGAATCAACAAATTGAATTACTGTCCCCCGATTCAGGCCGAATCTTAATCGAATATGACCCATTTTGAACACCCCTAATTAATACCCTATAAACCACCTTTGAGCAGTGCAGGTAGAAATTGGAAGAGCTGTCATGACTGACTGGTTGCAGAGGATTCTCCTTGTAAAAAGGGCCTTCCTAGGGTTGCATAATGAATTTAGGAGCTGTGGTGCTTGAAAGCAAAAATTGGTCACTTGCTCCTGAACATCTGGCAGCAACCTCACACTTCCTAACCCTCCAAGTCCCTGGAATGTCACACGAGCCCAGCAAAAAGCCCAGGTAAAGTGTTGTGTTTGTCCACAGGCATTCAGAAATAAAATGACTGCAGCTACAAGGGTGGTCGAGTGCTGTCAGGCTGTCCAGCATGGAGTATATCGTGAACGTAAAGTAAAAAAGCTCTGCAATCATAGTCAGCACATTCAACAAAAAGTAAACAGATTCTCACATACACACTTGATACATTTACATCTCTTGCAAAGCACAACAAGGACTACGCAGCACAAGATATTTTATTTATTTTAAAATAAAGAAAATAAATACATCCACCAACAATACAGAGAGCCGCTTTCAAATTAATGTATTTCGTTATATAAGGACTCCCTCTGCTCAGGAGAATAAGGGAGCTTTGCTTTGACCCCTTTAATAACAGCCCCACTTGACAAAGCTGTGTCATGTCACTACACATGACAAGTGCATACTCAGTCTTACACTTAACATAAACCAAGACAACTATCCTGTTCACTCCTCTTACACAGTTGACCCACTGAGAAGGCAAGGATACCTCTGCATATGTACAGTTTATTTACCCATCCTTTGCTACGGAGTGCACTCATCTGAGACTCATGCGCTCCTTTGTCCCTTGGATGCATGGTCAGCCCATGTTCTGTCGATTGCCATAACCCCTGGGGTGTGTGTCTTTCCAGTCATCCCAGCCCCGGGCTTTACGTATAGTTTCTTCATTGTCCTCTTCCACCTTTTTCTCCTGTTGCTCCTTCTCCAACTCCTCACCAGCAATCTCTGCTAGAGATGAAAAGAGAGTGCAAATCAACAAGGAAGATCAAACCAATGAAAAATCAGCTGTCAAGCTCAGTTCTGATGCCTTCAGAAAAATGCTTCAAATCAGGGGCATCAAACACATCTTACTGTGGGACAGGTCTGGACTACAGGGCTCCTTGTGGGCTGGATCAAGACCATGGCGCAGAGTGGGGTCGGAGGCAGTGACAGCTCCAGCTTCTGCCCAGTGCATGCAGCAATGGCAGTGGCTCCAGCTCCCACCACATGCCCCATGCCCAAGCTAGAGCTACTGCCAACACGTTTCACACGGGGGCAGTAACTCTGGCTCCAGCACATAGCATACAGCAGTAAATACTCTGGTTCTAGGTCTGGCACAGGACAGCGCGGCCACCATGGTGAAAATGAGCAAGAGGGCCAGAGGGCAACCAGAGCTGTCAACCCTCACACCCTCCTGCTGCTGATCACCATGTCCACCAGTGCCCAAGGGCCCCCAATTCTACAGCAGGCCACTCCCTGCCTCCACCCCAACTTCTGGTGACCTACTGGTAGCCCTACAGCTCTGTGAGCTAGATCCAGCCCAGCATTTGAAGCCCCTGCTTTAGATGGAAAACACTTCCTGCCATTTGTGGTCTAGCTACCCTGGTAACCTGCCTAAGGCATTAGCTATTGCTCAAGGTTTCAAAGGAAGGTGCAAAAAAGCATCCAACAGACAATTATGGAACAAGCTAATAGGAAAGTTTCTTCCTAGTCCCCATCAGTTAATGGTTGACATATGCCTTTAAACACAAAAAAAGTATACACCTTCTGGTTTTTACTCAAGTGTGACCATGGACATATCATAAGATGAGAAAAGACTGAATCATTCTGCAGTCTTATGTTTTCCCCACTGGTCCATACCTGGTGCTCCCCGAGGTACACCTTGATCAGGCAAGATGCCTCGCTTCTGGTGCTGCTCATACCAGTCATCCACTGTCATAGTTGCTAGGCTAGGATAGCCAGCACCAAACACCCTACAGAAAGAAATGGATCAATAGCATACACAATGCATTTAAGGTCAAGTTGGCCTCCTTACACTCCAGGCACCTGAACATACTAGCAAGGCAGTGTTTCCAGTTCAATCTCACATACCAAACAGTCCAGCTTCGCACTCAAGAGATTCTTTAGTCAGTCCATTCAAATGAACCCTACTGAATTCTATTATCCAAGTGTACTTTGCCTTTTTTCCATTAAGTGCCAAGTGCCTTACACTTTAACTAAAAGTCAACTGAGGTTTTGTCTGAGCAAGTGATGCCTGGTATCATTGACTCAAACTTCTCTTATGCTGCTGCAGAACATGGTGGGGAGGGAGGAGGAGAGAGGTCTCTGTAGTCCCCTTCCCCTCCCCACCTACCCAAAGTGGCTGCATTTCAAGGGTGGCACATCTAAGAGAACTTGAAAAACCTTAAGAACCCTGTCCAAGAGGAACACTTGACAAACAAAGCTGACATGCTAAGTAGTTCCATGCATGCACCAGACTAACAAATTATAATACCGTCCCCACCTCAGACATTATAATAGTTGCTACAACACTAGAAAGATAGTTTCCAGAGCAGTTTTTCTCCTGCTGTCTTGCTTTTTCCACTGTTTGTAGTATGGCCTTGTGGGACCCTATATGAAAAACAGATCTCAAAGTATAACTAACTGGTGTATATTACCCCTGTCCATCGCCTGAAAGAGTTGCACCTTTTCTGGAGTCCACTGCTATGATTTAACTCATACAGCAATGTTCAGGGTTGTTGGTTGTAGCCATATTGGTGTAAGAACATAGGCAGGCAAGGTTCTTTGGGTAGATGTGGTATCTTTTATTTGACCAGCTAAAACAGTTGGAAAAAAGTTCTTTGCAAGCTTTCAGGCACAAACACCCTTCTTCAGGCACTGGGAGACTCTGCAACTGCTAAGAGTTCTCCAAGGTAGAAAAGAAGTTGACAGCATAACAATGGCAAAGTCTCCCAATGCCTGAAGAAGGGTGTTTGTGCCTGAAAGCTTCCAAAGAACTTTTCCCCAAATATTTTAGTTGATCTAATAAAAGATATCACATCTATCCAAAGAACCTTGCCTACAGCAATCCTCAGGCACTGGTGACCTTTGCCCAAATTATTCTCAACCCGCTCCTCCCAGGACACAGAGCTTTCAGCAGTTGCAGTTCCTACCCACTAGCAGCTAGGAACTCCTACCCACTAGCAGCTAGGAACTCCTACCCACTAGCAGCTAGGAACTCCTACCATGTGTTGCGATGCACATAGCTAGTTGGGCATATATATTTCCCCCCCGCCAAAGACCACTGCAAGAGATTTAGACAGAATTTGGCATTAGTATTGGTATGGATGAATTCTATAGCTACAGCAACTGGCTTGCAGGTAACCGAGTCTTACTAGCATTACTGCAAATCAAGGCAGAGACTGCTTTGTTTTTAATATTGTTGATTCAGCTGTTCAGACTGAGGGGACAGACAATGGAGACAGTGGGGAATAGAAAGATTCTGCCGCTGCAACCGTCACCTGACACCAACCTCTACACAAGTGGTCACTGTTACCTTCTGCTTCTTGTGGAGACAGCAGGCTCTTTCAGGGGTCTAATGACCCATCCCTAAGCATCCCAGTCTGCCTTGCCTAGGAACCCCCGCCACGCTGAGCACTGTACATCACCCCCTCCTGTACTCTTGGGAGTACTCTGCCCACCCTACAACCCCATGAGATCCTTTTCAGGGTGCTACAGGGTGCAATAAGTAAGCACTGTAGGAAACAAGTAATTCCTTAAATGCAGTGCCACTGCATTCTGAAAAGTTAGAGGGGTCCCTTGAGTCTTAAAAGGTTGAGAACTGGCTGAGGAGGACACAGGAACCCCTGTCAGCTGATCAAATAGCAAGAACACAGCAGATACACCATTGTATTTTCAGACCTCTGGACTCCAAAGGGAGATGGGTCAGCACAATGGAGTGTGTTGGGAATGGGAGAATTAAGGAGCAAGGATATTGCAGGCTCCCCACCCCTTGCATACACAAAGCCTGAGGTAGTGCTTCTGAAAATAACTCTCCCCTATGTCCTTATTCAAAAACAAGAGTGCCCCTAGCCCAGCTGAGCCCCTTATAAACATTCCCAGCAGGACGGCACTCACCACCGCAAGGAAAATACAGCCATGTGACAGAAATTATGTCTAAAATGATAACGGTGTAACTTACTTAGCCTGGGCAGCATCCCGGGTGAGAATGAAAGGTTTCATCGGGATCCTTGGCTGACGAGGAGCATGAGATGATGCTGAAGACTTAAAGTGGGAAACCAAAAGCAGATTACTATCAGAACAACCTCCCTTCATGGACTGAGGACAGCACACTGCTCTGACAACTGAAAAGGCAAACGTCTGACAAGTTCTGGCCTTAACCAAGCCTAAATTACAACCTTCACATGGGAGCTGCTACCTATCTCTTCACCTTGTGCCTCAAGTCATTCCAGTCCCGGATGAGAGCAGGAAACTGAAAAAGCATGAGGCAGCCTAACTTAGCTGCAACTCCTGTGGAGGAGAAGGTCAGGAACAGCTGCTTCTTCTAGGGAAACCAGCCTGTGCTCTGTAAACCCAAACCAAGCACCAACTTTATTACTGCATAGCAAGACAGATGAGCAGGGTACCAGTAACTCTAGCCAACAGCACTAGAAGGATGGGTGGCTGCAGTACACAAAACCAGTCTATAGATACATGTATGCAATATTATTTTTGTTCCTAATTCTAAGCAACCCTAGCAACATAGATGAGTAGCACAGTGCTTGGACTCCTGCAGGCAGCATCATTCTGTAGGTTAGAGATGTCACATGCTGTTGAAGGAAGGAGCTTTTTACTGTTCATCAGATGACTTTTCAGATGAAGCTTAGTTTTGGCTTAGAGAAGGCCTACATACCTGTATCCTGTGATCATAATGTGCAAATTTTAGTTCTAGAGAGCAAGAGACTGGTATAACCTGGCACTGTGCAGGTAAAAAGGGCAAACCTCCTCTAACAAGTCTTAGGGCACATTAAAGGTAAGGTATAAAACCCTGATATTTCAAGCCCTGACCACCCAAAAATAGATGTAATTGTATAGATTTTGTCCTGGTTTGGCAACGTAAAACATGATTAGCCAAGAGACCTTCCACTGATTCCACATATGATCCATCCAGAATTTTAATCCAGGACCTCACATATGGAACTGTATTAAAGCTCAGCCAATTCATAACTTCAGTTGACAGGGTTATCTGATAACCTTTCCTTTTATGTCTCAGCCATGTCTATCATCAACCCCAGGTATACACAAAGGCCACACTACATGACAACCCCAAGCCACATGCTTACCTGTTTTATTGCATCCCTGCCTCTCAAGATCACCATTTCCTGGTCAATGCTCTCAATTTCGTCCAGGCTTGTGCTGATCCACTTCTGGATGTGCAGCAGGTAGAATTCTCGCACCTGTTCCTCATCTGCTTGGCCACTCTCCACGAAGGCTTTCATAGAGGCCAATCTATTTTCCACCTCCTTTTTCTGCTTATACCTGTCTCAGGGAGGGAATAGGACCATTTAACAAACCTCTCTCAAACAGCCTTTCCCAATGTACTTAACTGCTGAATTTTTTAAACAGCTGGTTTAAGCTCCTGGAAATGAAGTCAAGTTAATACTGAGAAGAGCCAGTCAATCTAAACAACCTGCTGCCCCATGCCCACTAACTGGGGGGGGGGGGGGGGGGGCCCCCGGTGGGGGGGGGGGGGGGGTCTGTTTTTAAATACTCTTCTGTCCCTGACAGCAATTCCCAGATCCCAGATGATTGCATGGCATAGGATGCATCTTAAAAGAAATTCCTTGAGGAATTATTACCCATTCAGTTCACAACTCGGTAGCATTAAGATTTTTAGAGAAGAGTACAAAGTTTTTGCATATTTTAATGCAAGTTGGCAACTAGAAATCAGGAGAGCCAGCAGCATAAGGCAAGTCTGCTTGCAACCACTGGTAAGTGCTTCAAGCTTTTGTGTAAGAACTCAAATGTAAAGCGCAAGGAGTCTTTCTGCCCATCAAATAGGCACCCACCTTACTAGTCATTTTCTTTTTTTGCCTAAATGAAACACAGAGTTCAAAAGGGCTCCACTTCTCTTACGAAGCAGCTGAAAATATATAAAACAGTTGCATACATGCAGCAAAAGGCAGCCCTACAAGCTCCACC